AATGGCTTGAATAACTTCAATTGGATCCTTATGCATCTTCTTTGCAATGGAAATGCTCTCATTCCTGCAACATCTGACATATAGATTTTTTAATAGCTTTGATCAAATATGAGAAAAAATAAAGATACTACATAATCAAAGTGCACTTAGAAATCTATTTAAAAAATAAATTAACATTATAATAGTTTTGTTAAAATAAAAACTTTAGATTAGTAAATTGTAATTACAAATACGGATGTCAATACTCTGCCTCATGACAACAATGCCACTATTTATAACTTTTTCAGGCACTAAGGCTTTTTCTTGATGATGTGACCATTCATCTTTATCTGCCATGGTGTAAGGCCACTTCAAATTATTTGGCTTTTTTTTCAATCACATGGCTAGTCACAGAATATGACTCTCACGGAAAAAATCAGCTCTTGTAGATACACAAAACCAATCCACTTTCTCATCTTATCATCACATGGGTAAAGTTAAAAATAGTGGTGTTAGGTGTATAACACGACAACTATTATGAAGACACCCCTATCATGCCAAAGAGAGAGATGTGTAAGTCCCTTTTGCCAAATCATGATATGGGTAAAATTCATTCACATGTCTGTGAATTGGGCTCTATAAATAGACATATGGCATATGCACAAAACCATAACATTAGCACTAGTAAATCTCAGTTGTTGATCTATGGACCGAAAGTATATAGAACGAAAGTACTCGTTAAGAGATGCATGGATTGAAAGTAGTTGTTTTACATTCTCAATCGTTCTCAAAACTATTCCATTTATAACTCCTCACATCGATGGTTCATTTTTTTTTGTAAAACTAACCTGGCATGTAATCGTCGTCACCTCCATCGAGATTTGGTGTGTATTTATTTTTCAATGTGTTCAAGTGTGTATTTATTTTTCCCTCAATAAACGTTTCAAAAGTGTTTTTACAAATGTACCCTGTATTTATTTTGCTATTATTTGGCTTCTATTCATTATAGCATTATAAGCTATTCCATTTTTAACTCCTCATATTTGAAACTATTCCATTTTTAACTCCTCACGACATTTCGTGAGGCCATGAGACCCCTCCGACGTATAGGATTTTGCTGCTTGCCATTGTCTTCAACCAGCAAATGTTCTTCCTTCATATATAAGAAAATACTAGGAAATTTCCTCAGTATATATAATAAGATACTAGGAAATTTTCGAACTCTAGTGAATTGTCTTCCATAAATTCATGCTAACCCTTGTAAAAATATTTTGTGTTATTAACCTCTCTCACTTCAACCCGCTACGATTTGCTTGCATAACTCCTAATTATAGACTTGGAAGGTAAAACTCTATCAAATTGCTTAAGGAACGCTGGTGGAAGTTGTAGTCGTTGAGAGCTCCGTTCCGGGAGAAAAACTTTGAAGAACTATGGACACAAATCAGGTAAGGAGAACTTTTTGCAAAGTACTATTTCATAATGGAACTGGCTTAAAAGCAGCTTCTTTACCTATTAGGGAGAGAATAATTGTTTTTAGGATATCTTATAGAATAAAAAAAAAAAAAATTAGCTTATGTGTAATGTTTTAAGTGATGTTGGAGTATATTTTGTATTACTTATTCCCTCAAGTTAGATAGATTGGAATAAAGTTTGTACTCTTTATGGCACTAATGGATTTATTTATGGATGTAATGTGCAACCTAATTAGCGGTGTGGGTTATAATACCATTTTCAATTGCAAAAATAAATCCCTTTTGCGAAGGTAACACTTTTTTTCCAAAGGTACCACATTTTTGAACTGAAGGTACCACTTTTTGGCGTCAAGGTACCACGTTTTCTCTAAACACTTATTCATTGCGCTAATGGAGCTATTTATGGATGTAATGTGCAAGAAAATTAGCGGTGTGGGGTGCAATACCATTTTCAATTGTAAAAATAAGTCTCTTTTGAGAAGGTACCACTTTTTCCCCAAAGAGACCACGTTTTTGAACTGAAGGTACTTCTTTTTGGCGTCAGGGTACCACATTTTCTCTAAACACTTATTCATGGCGCTAATGGATTTATTTATGGATGTAATGTGCAACCTAATTAGCGGTATGGGGTATAACCATTTTCAATTGCAAAAATAAATCTCTTTTGCAAAGGTACCACTTTTTTTCCAAAGGTACCATGTTATTGAACTAAAGGTACCACTTTTTGGCGTCAAGGTACCATGTTTTCTCTAAACACTTATTCATGGCGCTAATGGAGCTATTTATGGATGTAATGTATAACTTAATTAGAAATGCGGGGTGTAATACTATTTTCAATTGCAAAAATATGTCTCTTTTGCGGAGGTACCATTTCTTTTCCAAAGGTACCACGTTTTTGAACTGAAGGTACCACTTTTTGGAAAAAAAGGTACCACATTTTGTCTAAACACTTATTCATGGCGCTAACGGGAGCTATTTATGGGTGTAATGTGCAACTTAATTAGCACTGTGGGGTGTAATACCATTTTCAATTGCAAAAATAAGTCCCTTTTGCGAAGGTACCACGTTTTTGAACTGAAGGTACTTCTTTTTGGCGTCAGGGTACCACATTTTCTCTAAACACTTATTCATGGCGCTAATGGATTTATTTATGGATGTAATGTGCAACCTAATTAGCGGTGTGGGGTATAACCATTTTCAATTGCAAAAATAAATCTCTTTTGCAAAGGTACCACTTTTTTTCCAAAGGTACCATGTTATTGAACTAAAGGTACCACTTTTTGGCGTCAAGGTACCATGTTCTCTCTAAACACTTATTCATGGCGCTAATGGAGCTATTTATGGATGTAATGTGCAACTTAATTAGAAATGCGGGGTGTAATACCATTTTCAATTGCAAAAATAAGTCTCTTTTGCGGAGGTACCATTTCTTTTCCAAAGGTACCACGTTTTTGAACTGAAGGTACCACTTTTTGGAAAAAAGGTACCACGTTTTGTCTAAACACTTATTCATGGCGCTAACGGGAGCTATTTATGGGTGTAATGTGCAACTTAATTAGCGCTGTGGGGTGTAATACCATTTTCAATTGCAAAAATAAGTCCCTTTTGCGAAGGTACCACGTTTTTGAACTGAAGGTACTTCTTTTTGGCGTCAGGGTACCACATTTTCTCTAAACACTTATTCATGGCACTAATGGATTTATTTATGGATGTAATGTGCAACCTAATTAGCGGTGTGGGGTATAACCATTTTCAATTGCAAAAATAAATCTCTTTTGCAAAGGTACCACTTTTTTTCCAAAGGTACCATGTTATTGAACTAAAGGTACCTTTTTTTGGCGTCAAGGTACCACGTTTTCTCTAAACACTTATTCATGGCGCTAATGGAGCTGTTTGTGGATGTAATGTGCAACTTAATTAGCGATGCGGGGTGTAATACCATTTTCAATTGCAAAAATAAGTCTCTTTTGCGGAGGTACCATTTCTTTTCCAAAGGTACCACGTTTTTGAACTGAAGGTACCACTTTTTGGAAAAAAGGTACCACGTTTTGTCTAAACACTTATTCATGGCGCTAACGGGAGCTATTTATGGGTGTAATGTGCAACTTAATTAGCGCTGTGGGGTGTAATACCATTTTCAATTGCAAAAATAAGTCCCTTTTGCGAAGGTACCACGTTTTTGAACTGAAGGTACTTCTTTTTGGCGTCAGGGTACCACATTTTCTCTAAACACTTATTCATGGCGCTAATGGATTTATTTATGGATGTAATGTGCAACCTAATTAGCGGTGTGGGGTATAACCATTTTTAATTGCAAAAATAAATCTCTTTTGCAAAGGTACCACTTTTTTTCCAAAGGTACCATGTTATTGAACTAAAGGTACCACTTTTTGGCGTCAAGGTACCACGTTTTCTCTAAACACTTATTTATGGCGCTAATGGAGCTGTTTGTGGATGTAATGTGCAACTTAATTAGCGATGCGGGGTGTAATACCATTTTCAATTGCAAAAATAGGTACATTTTGTAAAGGTACTACTTTTTTCCCAAATGGACCACGTTTTTTGAACTGAAGGTACTTCTTTTTGGCGTCAAGGTACCACGTTTTCTCTAAACACTTATTTATGGATGTAATGTGCAACCTAATTAGCGGTGTGGGGGTATAAAACCACGTTTTCAACTGCAAAAATAAATTCCTTTTGCGAAGGTACCACTTTTTTTCCAAAGGTACCACGTTTTTGAACTGAAGGTACTCATTTTTGGCGTCAAGGTACCACGTTTTCTCTAAACACTTATTCATGGCGCTAATGGAGCTGTTTGTGGATGTAATGTGCAACTTAATTAGCGATGTGGGGTGTAATACCATTTTCAATTGCAAAAATAGGTACCTTTTGTAAAGGTACTACTTTTTTCCTAAAGGGACCACTTTTTTTGAACTGAAGGTACTTCTTTTTGGCGTCAAGGTACCACGTTTTCTCTAAACACTTATTTATGGATGTAATGTGCAACCTAATTAGCGGTGTGGAGTATAAAACCACGTTTTCAACTGCAAAAATAAATTCCTTTTGCGAAGGTACCACTTTTTTTCCAAAGGTACCACGTTTTTGAACTGAAGGTACTCATTTTTGGCGTCAAGGTACCACGTTTTCTCTAAACACTTATTCATGGCGCTAATGGAGCTGTTTGTGGATGTAATGTGCAACTTAATTAGCGATGTGGGGTGTAATACCATTTTCAATTGCAAAAATAGGTACCTTTTGTAAAGGTACTACTTTTTTCCCAAAGGGACCACGTTTTTTGAACTGAAGGTACTTCTTTTTGACGTCAAGGTACCACGTTTTCTCTAAGGAAGATCCAAACCAATTTTTCATTCATTAAACTATCCATTTATCGACACCATGGAACCAAGGAAGATCCAAACCAATTTTTCATTCATTATAAACTGCTTCAGTTTTAAACTCCATCAAATTTGAAATTAGTACATTAATATAGTAGTGAAAGAAATTTCATTGAGGCCCTAATATAATAAGCCATACAATACTAATTCCTGAGAACCCAAAAGAGCAACTTCATTTGATTTCATGTAAGGTAGATGCCAATATAATAAGCCATACAATAGTTGCAAAAATATACCAACCTAATCCACAATCAAAAGTTGCAAAGCTACTATTCTTTAAAACTTTAAAAATAGCTAACACCAACAGAGTGCAAAATACATGAAAAAAAAAATGACACTATTCAACAATACAAATGTCCCATATCCCACATCATTTCAGGTACCACTTTTTAGAAAATTCAACGATCGTCCTATCCCACTTCCTCTAGCTTCCAACTGGGCAAATACTGGTATGTGAGGTTCCTTGAGGTAAATGGTACCTTGTTGGCTGATGGAGGTGATGTTAGAATCATAAAAATAAAAAAAAATAAAAAAAATTACTAACCACAAGTAAGCTGATGGAAGCTTACTTGAAATCAACATGCTTGACCAAATGGATAAAGTGCTTTGTTCTTTACAAAATCCTTCATTTTGTTATTGTCATCTGAAAGCAAATTTGAAGCAATAATTGCACGTAATCTATCAACATCCACCTGCAAATTAAACCAGGTAAAGACAAATCATGAATATAGGATAGGGAAATGGACTTCATGCGTGAATACATATAAGTGTAAATAGATAGGAATCTAGTGTTGCAGAAACTATATATTTGATAAAGAAAACTTTTTCAACAATGTTGAATTTGGCATATGTACAAAATCTCGGTGATACTAAACTTTTATATGTGAAATATTGCATAAACAGGTAGCTTCATCCTTGGGAAATATGTTAGCAATTTGGTCAGATCAGCACAGAGACAGAACATAAACAAAACCAAAACAAATCTAATAATACGAAAGATCTCCCTGTCCCAAAATAGTTATCCCTTTTTACTGATTCCAAACACTCAATGGCACGCACCTTTTTTCTGACATTCCAAAAGTAATCTTAAAGTGACTATTTATTTTGAAATTTTTTAATCATTCATTTCAATATGTCGTAGTTTCAGTATCTTTTGTGTTCGGTTCATTTTTAATGAGCACCACTAAGTACAGTGAAGTGACCATATAAACTGCAATATGTTCATTTAAAATGACAGGAGTCCAGTATTTGCGTATCTAATTGGTTAGGTGATGTAGGAAAAACAAGGTTGACTGAAAATATTTAAGAATATGCTATTCATTTAAACCTCATCTAGCAAAGCTGGTTTCTACTCGATAGGACCCATTATACAGTGGATGTCAAACATTTTCTATATCATCTTCATGTTAGATCCGTACTCACTAGAGCTGGATGCTTTCTCTTTCAAAAAAATGGCACACATTAAGGGTATACTGCTTTAGGGGGTTCTAAGGTTGAAAATTTTGTTGCCTAAAGGGGGTGCTTACCGCTCTCTTTGTTTCAACACGTGCCATAGTCCCCTGGTCTTCCCGCTATTGACACTACGACATTGCAGCCTAGCGGGGAGAGATCGGAAAGCGAAGTACTTGCACACAAACATGGGTTTAAAAGATGCAAAAAGAAAAAAGAAAGGTATAAGCTGGAAAACGTGTAAAAATAGAATGGGGAGTGCAGTGAAGAGGAAGGAAAACGTTATAGTGGATGCATTTTGTGGTTGCATTAATTTTTTAAATTATGTTTGCATGTATTGGAATTGAAGACCCTCCAGTTTCAACCCTTGAACAAAAGTATGTAGGAATGTGGATCAGTTTTACAAATATATTTTTTGAAACCTTTAAAGGCAAGACCCATTTCTTCCTTTGAAGACTAATGACCAGTGGGTGCTTAGATTAACAATGCACCAATGGTTTAGAAGAAAACAGAGAATTAAATGATTAACGAAGAGTATCGAGGAGATTGTGTGATTTAGTAATTCGGTATTTTCTTCATTCGGGGAAAAAAATAAATAAGACCCATGTAAAAAATAGAATTGGGCTTCACCTTCTCTTTTGGGTGACTGAGTGAACCATCCCATTTCTCCATGAAGTCCAACATGAAAGCATCACAACTATCACTGAATAAAAGACTGTTTAGGTATCTGTTAATTATAATTGTGAACATAATCAGTACACCAAACTAGGAACATTAAGTGATAAAATTACCTATCGGGCTGTTGAGGTACGTTGGGCACATTGTATATGAAGTTTTGTAGATCTCTTCCGGTGAATACCTCAACCAACATTACCTACAAATGCACAATATATAAATGATTAGAGTAAAAAATTCAGTACCACGTTCTTCAACTTGTATACTTTACCGTCCTAATTTAACAGTAAATGAATACATAATCAAAAAAATGAGCTCATATGTAATAAGCATTTACCAAATCTTTTGACATCTTGTCTGGAGTACGCTTATCATGCGAACATTGCTTCATTGAATCCAACACATCCATACGACTATCGCAAATGTTAAAGACATACAAGCACCAATGTTTCTCATTTACAAGTATTGGAAAGAAAAGCTGCATATTTAACAATGTAAAAATTTAATTACTTTTAGAATCATATTTTTTTGATAAAAGTATAATAATTATTTATGTTTGCAAGCGATAAATATTACCATATTGAATTGGCAAACTTTGTTATCATCGACATTCCTTATCCTTTTATACTTGTTCCAAACTGCTTGTATTTTACCTTTCCTATCAACCACTTTTGAAGGTATCTTGGAAAGTTCAATCTGAAAATGCACACAATTGATAACCTAATATGTGTCAAACAAACACTCACTATAGATAGAAGAATTTGTTACCCCAATCGAAGGCGGAAAGAAAAATTTGGTTCCTCTACGCTTTTGTTTCAGCTGGAGCATTTGGCAATAGACTTCAACCACCTACAATGATCACATTTAAACCATTAATGCATGCGTGTGATTGGTTTGAAAAATCAATCAACTTTAAGTGAACATACCATATTTGATATCCAATGATTGTAAGAGATTGTTCTCATCTCTTTTCTTGTGAGGAAAATATCATTTATGTTCACCAGCATTTCACTATAATTAAACAATAACATATTAAGTGTTTGAGCATAGAAAGTAAGTAAATATAGAGCAAATAAGAAATTATTTATATAATTTCTCACTCATCATTTTTGCTCTCATCCATGGCATATGAGATGACTGCCTTTGCTTCTGGACGAAGGACACGCAATCGGTTGACCTTCATTTCAACCCAAGGTGATCCCTTATGGCGCCCAGGCTTTATAACACGTAATAAAGGGATCACTGCTTCCTGCACATCACGCTCCTCTTCCATTGCTGTGGAGGTTCCCACTTCCTCCTCCATTGGTGCGGGGATTTCTCCTTCCTCCTCCATGGGATCGTGTTTTATAAAAGATTGCCAGGGTGAGTTTGCTTGTCTTGTGGAGGTTTCGAATTCCTCCTCCACTGGTATGTGGGATTCATCTTCCTCCTCAATCGGATTGTGTTATGCAAACAATTGCGAAGATGGGTTAGGTTGTCGTGTGGATGAACTGGGTTCTGAGGATCTCGACCCCCTGCCTTGGCCTACATTGTGCCGTTGCTTCCATTTCTTAACAACTTTAATAATTTCATATGCCAACTCCTAACAATTTTAAACAAGTTTAATAAATATATATATCAGTTAATATATAAATGTAACCGTAGAGTTCCAAGTAATTATGAATATGCAAATATAACCGTATATTTAGTACCAATTATAAAAAGCCATAATTGACGTGATTACCTTATCGGCATCTTCAGATGTATCAGTTGTAAACTTTACCTCACCGAAGCTGAAACCATTATATTTATGCTTCTCCAAATTCAACCTCTCGCCTATTAATTTGTTGGTCCATCCACGTACGCATGACATCTCAGGCTTCGGTTTTGGTCCATTGACATCCACACGGTGTAGGTAGAAAAGCTACAACATATAAGCCATTATGATAATGACATTATAGCTATTTAAAATAAAATGATAGATACATTACAAATATTATATCTTAGAACATACCATGAGAAAGAACAAGCATCCATGTATGTATGTACAACCTTCTCTTCCTTCCTTTCCTTTATAGGACGCAATTCCTTTTTTCAACCAATCTAAAACAAACTTCCCCCAATTATACGATTTAATAGCATCCACATTGTCAACCGCTGCCAATAACCTTTTGCTTGTCTCATTTTTCGATATGGGTGCTAGAAGTGATCCGCAAGCGAAAAGGACAAAAGCCCTCTTGAAGTCATCCCCAACAGGAAGAACGTCTAATTGATGCACTAAGTTTGGCACTTCTATTACACCGTCCTTTAAAAAAATGCCATTTTCTAACCAATGCACACTTTGTACAATATAATTTGGCACATCTTCTCCTCTTCCCGAGGGTAGGCCAAGTACCTCTTCAACGTCACTTGGCGTAACATGGATCCGAGCGCCAGATTCAAGGGTGAGATGAGATGTTCTAGGGTCAAAGTGTTCTACCAACCATAAGCACAGGTTGCGCTTCAAAATGGTACACTCGATGTCTAAAAGGGACCCAAACCCAATCTCTTGTACGGCAACCTTTTTGTCTTCACTTAAATTGCAAACCGTTTCCTTGAATTTATTTGGAGAACACCGGGTATTCAACATCTACAAATAAATTACCAACACAGGCACATTAGATACAAAAAGGAAGGATGGAGCACATATATGGACATAACAGTCCAACTTAAATTTACCAATTTGCACTTCTACACATTACATGTTGAAAAGATTCAATCTCAAATCTGCTAGCTTACAAAGGCACTTGGGAGTACTCATATATTCCTAATTCATTAATTCAATACACATTCTTCGGAATTAATCCAACTAAGCACGTTAATGATAGGTAAAACATACAAAAATAAGCATATATAAAGCATCACTTAACCCAATCGAATAGATAAAAGGAAAAAAAAAAAACACTTACAGTTTTTATTTTTATTTCTTTTATTGAAATTGTTGAAAAGTTCTTTTCCTTGGATGTTAATGGTTGTATGGTTTACCTAATAAGGGAAGGAGGAAGGATCCAATGTCCTCATACCATTTGTTATAGGAATGAAGGTTCTACCTCGTATTTTTAATTAGAGAATAACTCTAGGGGGTTTCGATTACCATTGGAAATGCTCAGCTCAGAGGATAAGTAATGGACCTTTTTGTTGATGATCTTATGTTAATCGCAGCTGGGATGTTGAATCTGTTAAAATACTGACAGAATCAATAGCTCAATTTAGTTTTAACTTCTATTTCTAGCTTGATTCCAAATAATGCAAAGAGGTGTCATATTCTGATCTGGTATAGAGACTGCTACTCAAAACCTAATTCTCAGAAAGCTTAATTTCTCTATTAGGACCCTCCCAATTAGATATTTGGGAGTTTTATTATTGTCTAATAGACTGAATAAGCAGCACTGTGATCCTTTAATTGAGGAGTTTTGGACTACCAACTACTCATTTTGTGCTGGAAGGTTACAACTTATAAAGTCTATGCCATTCTCAGTGCAAGTTTATGTGGCTTCCCCCTTTGAATCTAGGACATTCAAAATTCAAACACACAATCAATTACCAATTAAGCACCCAAATTGGCCCACAAATATTAATAACATCAGTTTCTCGAGTCAAATAAATAAGTTAAGAATTATCCTTTTTCAAATAAAGTTTTATGACAACACCATGATAATGATGATTTTTATTTTTGGGAAGCACTGGAAGTGTTTTTGTTGCTTCTACAACTGAATAACTACACAAATCTTTCAACCTTCAAACACAAAAACACACACACAAAAGAAAATAAAAAAATAAAAAAATGAAAATTTTGTTGTTTATATATTAATAAATTTTGTTACTTTATATTGTACTTTGTTTCATATACAATTGGGTGCCTGTCTTAATTGACAGATTTATGCTTCATGCGGTTAACATCCAATTTATTATTAGCATGAAAAAAACTGGAATAAAAAATATATATATATAGTTAAATAATTAAAGATATGACTTACCAGTATGAAGTGATGAAAGCACTCTAAAATATGGTAAGACTGTAGGGTGCTGCAATTGTAAAAATTATAATCCACAATAAGGGCCTTCAGCTTGTTCAAGACTAAAGTTCAACCCAAATTTACCAATTAGTCTTTCAAATCCTGCAAAGGGAGATCCTGTTTCAGTCATTATCTTCACAAATATTTATAACTAAAATTCATAAATAAAAAAAAAAGTATATAAAAAAGATCATAAAAATTTTCACCAAATAGGATTTAGTTTGCAAAACAAGAATTACAGTTACAAATCTCAGAACAAGATAACCATAAACACGAGAAGCTAGAATGAACACGAACAGTCATCTTAAGACATATACACCAACTTATTAACTATTAATAGAAAATCGAACATGACACAGATATTCAAATTTATAAGTCCAGTCTTCATTTAAGCTGAGTCTTATGCAGTAGTTATGCTACAAAATAGGAACCACATGCTTTAGCTTTTATGTTACTATAATTATAAATTAAGGAAGGCTATTCTAAGTGTAAAGAAATAAGAAAGTGTGCATCAGAAACAAAGAAATAAAGAAAGAATTAATGAAAGAAAATAGAGTTAGCATGCTTAGGAATGCAAGGCTCTCTTCAAACTGGCAACTGTATGCTAAACTAAAAACTACTTCAACCCTTGTTTTCTTTAGATATACTCTTGTTGAAACTCAGAATTTGTAATTTGGTGGTTTGACAAATCTCACACATACATGTTACTTTCAGAAAAATATGTGTACATGAGTCCAGTTAACTGATGGGAGATATTCTGATGACGTTTTCTTGAGTCTCCGTTCAAGTTTCAAGCTTAAATAATTTATCCTATCATGAATTTATAAATAAGGTCACATCAAATCCAACTTCTAAATATTAATTTTTTTGTCTTTCTTAAAGGGCAATAAGAAAATTGAAGACCCAATCAGGGTCATCTCTCCTTTCTGCATTTCGATCAGCAAAAGGAGAAAAGGTTTTGGAAGTGGAAGGGACAATCACCAGGGACAATCACCAGCCAGCCGGTTTTTCAAGACGTGGGAATTTCTACATGGCCTAGTATATTTTTGTGATAGTTCAACTCTTTAGTATTCAAAATGCTACTTTATATATATATATATATATATATATATATATATATATATATATATATATATATTTGATAAAAAAAAAGGGGTCAGGTGACATGGTGAAAGCTTAAACTGGCCACTATAAGGAGACATATTTAAGTATGAGATCAGCCATTTCGTAGGCTGTAAACAAGCTGAGTCAAGCCAACTTTATAGAGCTTATGCTCAGCTTGGCTGGTTAGAAGCAGTGTCTGAGCTTAGTTTGAGCTTGGTTAATTTTTTAACAGTTGTGATCAAACTTGACTCACTCAAATAAACCAATTACTCAGCTCGGTTCACATAAATGAATTGAGTTCTTAAGAAGTTCTGGAGGATGGGAAATTTGGAGCCTTGTTATCATAATTGTTAGTCAAAATAAAATACGCGCGTCATGCTTTGCAACTTCCCACTGTTGGAGCAAAAGATTGAGAAAATGTGTCTGTGTGACTGTAGATTCTTAGTTTTAATTGTTGATTAAATTTGGACCATTGACTTCTTTTTCTGTAAACAAATGAATATCAAATCTAAAAGATAGGTGAAACGCATGAAAAACTTAAATTAACAGGATAATCTGCCAAGGAATGCTCTACGATGTCTCTAAATGCTAGTTCAAAGTTTCAAATTATGTATCCACATAAGGTATAAAGGAAAAAACAATCATGAGACTTGCTACATCAACAATATTCAAACATATATACAATAATAACAACGAAATAGTAAAAAAAGGTTCAATAATTGCTATACTACTTTCACAAGTGATTGAAATTTGCAATAAACTGTACATTATGCATAAAAAGGCTTCCTAATAACTATTGGAAAATCTGAAAATTTGGATACAAGTCCATTCAACCAATCTTTTCCTAAGTCCTTATACTTTATCCTATGTTTGGTTGCCAAGAAATTGGGAAAACAAGAAGAAATTAGGAAACATAGAATCTTGTAACAA